CTCTCCTCTCTCTCTCTCTGTTTCTCTCTCCTCTCTCTCTCTCTGTCTATCCCTCTCTGTTGCTCTCTCTCTCTTTCTGTCTCTGTTTCTCTCTTCTGTCTCTGTCTCTCTTCTCTCTCTGTCTCTCGCTCTCTGTCTCTGTTTCTTCTCTCTCTCTGTCTCTCGTCTCTCTGTCTGTCTCTCTTCTCTCTCTGTCTCTCGCTCTCTGTCTCTGTTTCTTCTCTCTCTCTGTCTCTCGTCTCTCTGTCTGTCTCTCTTCTCTCTCTGTCTCTCGCTCTCTGTCTCTGTTTCTTCTCTCTCTCTCTCTCTGTCTTTGTCTCTGTCTGTCTTCCTCTCTCCCTCCCTCTCTCTCTGTCTCCTCTCTCTGTTTCTCTCTCTGTTTCTCTCTCTCTTCTCTCTCTCTGTCTCTGTCTATCTCTCTCTGTCGCTCTCTCTCTCTCTGTCTCTGTCTCTCTTCTCTCTGTCTCTCGCTCTCTGTCTCTGTTCCTTCTCTCTCTCTCTCTCTCTCTGTCTTTGTCTCTGTCTCTGTCTTTGTCTCTGTCTCCCTCCCTCCCTTCCTCCCTCTCTGTCTCTCTTCTCTCTCTCTCTGTCTCTGATTCTCTCTCCTCTCTCTCTGTCTCTGTCCATCCCTCTCTGTCTCTCTCTCTCTCTGTCTCTATTTCTCTCTCTTCTCTGTCTGTCTGTCTCTCGCTCTGTCTGTCTATCTCTCTCCCTCCCTCCCTCCCTCTCTGTCTCTGTCTCTCTTCTCTCTCTGTTTCTCTCTCTCCTCTCTCTGTCTTTGTCTCTGTCTGTCTCTGTCTGTCTGTCTGTCTCTTTCCCCCCCTCTCCCTCCCTCCCTCCCTCTCTCTGTCTCTGTCTCTCTTTTCTGTCTCTCGTCTCTCTGTCTCCTCTCTGTCTCTCTCTTTCTCTCCTCTCTCTCTCTGTCTTTGTCTCTGTCTCTCTCTCTCTTCTCTCTCTCTGTCTCTGTTTCTCTTCTCTCTCTGTCTTTGTCTCTCACTCTGTCTCTCTGTCTCTGTCTGGCTGTCTCTCTCCCCCCCTCTCCCTCCCTCCCTCTCTCTGTCTCTGTCTCTCTTCTCTCTCTGCCTCTGTTTCTGTCTCTCTCTGTCTCTGTTTCTCTGTTTCTCTCTCTCTCTCTTCTCTCTGTCTATCTTTGTCTCTGTCTGTCTGTCTCTGTCTGTCTCTCTCTCCCCCTCTCCCTCCCTCCCTCTCTCTCTCTCTCTTTGTCTCTGTCTCTGTTTCCCTGTCTCTCTCTCTCCTCTCTCTGTCTCTGTCTGTCTGCCTGTCTGTCTGTCTGTCTCTCTCAGCTGCAGCATGCGTACAACCACACGTTTGGTGCAGTGCTTTTTCCTGTTGCATTAATTAACATGCCTGCAGNGATTGTGGGTGGATTTTAAGTGCCACAGCCTCCCTCCCTCCCACCTCTCTCTGTCTCTTGTCTCTCTTCTCTCTCTGTCTCTCGCTCTCTGTCTCTGTTTCTTCTCTCTCTCTCTCTCTCTCTGTCTTTGTCTCTGTCTCCTCTCTCTCTCTGTTTCTCTCTCTCTGTTTCTCTCTCTCTTCTCTCTCTCTGTCTCTGTCTATCCCTCTCTGTCGCTCTCTCTCTTTCTGTCTCTGTTTCTCTCTTCTGTCTCTGTCTCTCTTCTCTCTCTGTCTCGTTCTCTGTCTCTGTTTCTTCTCTCTCGGTCTTTGTCTCTGTCTGTCTCCCTCTCTCCCTCCCTCTCTCTCTGTCTCCTCTCTCTCTCTGTTTCTCTCTCTCTCTCTTCTCTCTCTGTCTCTGTCTATCCCTCTCTGTCGCTCTCTCTCTCTTTCTGTCTCTGTTTCTCTCTTCTCTCTCTGTCTCTCTTCTCTCTCTGTCTCTCGCTCTCTGTCTCTGTTTCTTCTCTCTCTCTCTCTCTGTCTTTGTCTCTGTCTCTCTCTGTCTCTCTGTCTCTCCCTCCCTTCCTCCCTCTCTGTCTCTCTTCTCTCTCTCTCTGTCTCTGATTCTCTCTCCTCTCTCTCTCTGTCTCTGTCTATCCCTCTCTGTCTCTCTCTCTCTGTCTTTCTCTATTTCTCTCTCTCCTCTCTCTGTCTGTCTATCTCTCTCCCCCTCCGTCTCTCTCTCTTCTCTCTCTCTCTGTTTCTCTCTCTCCTCTCTCTTTGTCTCTGTCTGTCTCTGTCTGTCTGTCTGTCTCTTTCCCCCCTCTCCCCCCCTCCCTCCCTCTCTGTCTCTGTCTCTCTTCTCTGTCTCTCTGTCTCTGTCTCTCTTTTCTGTCTCTCGTCTCTCTGTCTCTCCTCTCTGTCTCTGTTTCTCTCTCTCTCTCTGTCTTTGTCTCTGTCTCTCTTCTCTCTCTCTGTCTCTGTTTCTCTTCTCTCTCTGTCTTTGTCTCTCTCTGTCTTTGTCTCTCTGTCTCTGTCTGGCTGTCTCTCTCCCCCCCTCTCCCTCTCCCTCCCTCCCTCCCTCTCTCTCTCTTCTCTCTCTGTCTCTCTGTCTCTGCCTCTGTTTTTCTCTCTCTCTGTCTCTCTCTCTGTCTCTCTGTCTCTGTTTCTCTCTGTTTCTCTCTGTTTCTCTCTCTCTCTTCTCTCTGTCTTTCGCTCTGTCTGTCTGTCTCTGTCTGTCTGTCTCTCTCTCCCCCCTCTCCCTCCCTCCCTCTCTCTCTGTCTTTGTTTCTCTGTCTCTCTCTCTCTCCTCTCTGTCTGTCTGTCTGTCTCTCTCAGCTGCAGCATGCGTACAACCACACGTTTGGTGCAGTGCTTTTTCCTGTTGCATTAATTAACATGCCTGCAG